CGTTGCTGGCTCTGCCTAATTGTTTACATCTGATCTGCAAATGTCAGATTGTGGCGAGTGCTCATCAGATGAGGACTGGGCAGCGGGGGTGTCGTTTTTTTTATTGCAGTGAGTCGGCATCATCGTTACAATGCTGGATGCCATGATTAACGATAAATTAGAACGACTGAACCATTTTTTTGGCTTCTTTTTTTTTTTTTAATAAAGGACTTGTCACAAACTTTGGTTTTGTTGTTTGTTCAATAAATACATTTTTGAAAAGACTGGTCTCTTTATTTTTTACACAATTTAACCCTTTAGTGAATGGGTAGGGGTGCAAGTAGCACATAGTCATTTACAAAGAGGGAGCAGTATCAGAGTGCCCCCTTATTTAAAGGAGTACCTTGATGCTAATGAGTTCCCCTGCCCGCAGACCCCCACAACCACCAGGCCAGGGTTGTGGGGTTGGATACTTTCCCCATGCTGAGGGCATGTGGCCTGGTAAGCTACAGGGAGGGAGGCGCTCATTCATCATCCCCCCTTTCCTGCCCTGCCAGGTATGTGCTCAGATCAAGGGTCTGGTAGGAATTTATGGGGGAAACCCACACATTCCCCCCATTGTTGGGAGGTGGGGTTCCCCTTAGAAGTCCTACCAGGCCTAAAAAGGGCCTAGTATGGCTTTTGGGGGGACCCCATGCTGCATTTTTTAAAAATAAAAATGTAATTTAAAAAAAAGTCAGTCCTGCTGTACAATGCTTTCTATACATTGTACAGCAGTGCAAATTTGAAGGTAGTTTAAGGAGATCCCCCCAGTCATGATATTTAAAGGAATATCAGGAGGGATTTTGGTCCACTCTTCTTTACAGATCTTCTCTAAATCCTTAAATTTTCTTGGCTGTCGCTTGGTAACTTAAAGTTTCAGCTCCCTCCATAAATTTTCTATAGGATTAAGGTCTGGAGACTGACTAGGCCACTCCATGACCTTAATGTGCTTCTTCTTGAGCCACTCCTTTGTTGCCTTCGTGGTATGTTTTGGGACATTTTCATACTGGAAGACCCATCCATGACCCATTTTCAGTGTTCTGGCTGAGGGAAGAAGGTTCCCATCCAAGATTTTACAATACATTAGCCCCTCAATGCGGCAAAGTCTTCCTGTACCTGTAGCAGAAAAACAGCCCTAAAACATAATGTTTCCATATATGTGCTTGACTGAACACACTGGATGGTGTTCTTAGGGTCATAGTCAAAAATTTTCTTCCTCTAAACACGGCAAGTCGAGTTATTGCCAAAGAGCTCAATTTGGGTCTCACCTGACTACAGCACTGTCTCCCAATCCTTCTCTGAATCATTTAGATGTTAATTGGCACACTTCAGATGGGTCTGTACATGTGCCTCTTTGAGGAGGGGGACATTGCAGACGCTGCAGGATTTCAATCCATGGCGGTGTATTGTGTTACCAATGGTTTGCTTGGTACATGTGGTGCCAACCGCCCTGAGATCATTCAAAAGCTCCTCCCATGTAGTTCTGGGTTGATCCCACACTTTTCTCATGATTATCCTTACCCCATGAGGCCAAATCTTGCATGGAGCTCCAGAACAAAGGTGATTGATGGTTATTTTGTATTTCTTTAATTTGCAAATAATTGTTCCAACAGTTGTCTCCTTCTCACCAAGCTTCTTGCTGATGGTCTTGTAGCCCATTCCAGCCTTGTGCAGGTCTTAAATCTTGTCACTGATGTCCTTTGACAGCTCTTTGGTCTTGCCCATGGTGGTGGGAAAGAAAGAGATTCTGTGGACAGGAGTCTTCTATACAGATAACGAGTTGTCATTAGGAGCACCTTCTTAAATTGACAGGACTAATCTGTGTACCACATGAGCACATAGCCAGTCTGTGGGAGCCAGAACTATTGTTGGTTGGTAGGGGATCAAATAAATATTTTACTCATTGAACTTCAACTCAATTTATAACATTTGTATTGTGTTTTTTTCTGACTTTGTGGTTGATATTCTGTCTTTATCATTTAAAATACACCTATGATAAAAATTATTATATACCCTTCATTTCTGTGTATGTGGCCAAACAAATTACAAATCTGCAGGGGATCAAATAATTATTTTCCCCACTGTATGTGTTTGTGTGTGTATATATATATATATATATGGCCGAAATATGGCATATATTTATATGAAAATAGTATTTTTAAAAAAGGTATTGCATTAACACATGTTTTGCTATACACATCCTAATTGTATGTATTTATAGCAGAAAAGCATGCTAAAACCCACACATGGGTTGATGCTGCTAAATTTAGTTGCTGGCAGTCTAGGATTCACTGACTATCTGATCATGACAGAATTAGAACTCTCCAGCGCTTCTTTGCCATCCACTTAGCAGTTGCTGAAATGTACTACTTTTTATAAAATCATCAGAAAACATATACAACAATATATACACTGTGTTTTTGTTCTTTGTAGGCCTCATACCGTTTTCAAAGTATTGCATGACGTTTTCCCAGAAGGCTTTTGTCTTATTAAAGCACATATAAATATTGTGGCCATTTCCTGTTTACATAAACTCCAGAAAAAAATGACATTTCTCAAGCTAATGTCTGTTAAATGCGCATTAAATTGACCACTTGTTCTCCCCCATTAGAAGACCATATAACCAAGTGACGTAGCAAAAGTACAACTTGGAGTCAGTAACAGAACATTTCCCCAAATAACAGCAAGCCTCTTAAAAAAGGATCTTCATTGAAGGATCCCAGAGTTTAATTATAGTGAACACTGCATATATAAAACAAGTTTGAAAAGTATTTTTGAAAGGGTGCCAATAACATTACCGAATGTTAAAGATCAAAGAGATTTTAGTGATTCAAGGGGCTTCCATGTACTAATAATTTATTTTAAATGTTGATGCTGCTATACTGACTAATATACGTTTCTAAGCTGAAATGTACTACTTTTTTAAAATGATAATGTACCTCTCAAACATATAAATAATTTCCTGTTTTTCCAGAAAAAAAGCCCTCCCACCAAGCAGAAGAATACAAGTGACGAGAGTCTACTGAATCCATTTATAGAAACAATGATCTTTGATAATATTTCAATTAAAACAGCCTTTTGTGTTGTTACTTAAGAGTGCCTGAAATTATTATTAAAACTGTGTCAAGCCTCTCAGAGATAATAACTGTACAAAATGTTCCAAGATAACCAATATTATAAAATGTGCTTTAATTGCTGCTGTACTTTTATTGAAAAGGGGAAACAACACACCCGATTCACTCATTCAAAGCAACATACAGAGAAAATAAGAAAAACAGAATGTAATGGTATTTTGGACAAGAACATGATTCAAGATTAAATAGGTGATTGAAAAAGTTCATAGTGACATACACTGTAAATAAAAAATTAAAACAAAAAAAGCTTTGGAACTAATTTGCATTTTAAATGTATTTTTCTTTTTAGAAAACACATAGTATAACATGCAGGCCAGTAAATTCCCATTGACAATGTACATAACAGTTCAGAGGTTGCTTTTGAATTGCTTTTCATTGTGCTATTTTTTTTTTAATGCAGCACGTCCTGTTGAGGCACATTTAAACTCCAGGAAAGGCTGCAAATGCTGTGTTTTCCATTTCAATACAGATGCGGTTTGATAGGAATGTCCATCAACATGAACCCTTTATCTGTCAAATACTTTGCATATCCTACTTTGCATATCAAAACAGCTAAAAACCTACAGAAATGCTTCCTGCTGCACCAAATATTATTTTGGAATGGACAATAGAGGCTGGGCAGGATAACACCTGTATGGCATTTGGAGCAAACTTGTCTTACTGGTCTAGCCTTCAGACTCAATAGTTCACAGTGTCCATATTTAGGTTCAGGTTCCATGGAGCAGTGAGACTAGCCATGACCATACTGTCCATCTACTATCTATGGCCCTGGTCTGAGGCTATAGAGACACCACCACTGTCTGTCTGTGGCTATAGAGAAATTAGCCATGATATCATGTATTCCCAGCAGTCACCGATGCTGAGATGGATGGTGTTGGTGGTCGTAGCTGTGCTGCAACTGCCACGTAGCCTCCCTAGCAGTCTGATTATGTCCATATTTCTTTGCTCAAAGCGGTACATTTTTTGCATGGAAATATGTATTTTTTTTATTATAGGCCTGTAATTTTTAGGAATAACTCACTGAAATCTGTCCAAACAAGAGTCTAGTAAACATCTCGGGTATGCAGGGGCAGACTGACAACTCATGGGGCCCCGGGCGATAGGTGATCATGGGGCCCCTGTGTCCTTGCCCAAACTCAAAAAAGCCTATGAAAAAGGTACCAGGGGCATCTCATGGGGCCCCCTACTGACCCGGGCCCTCGGGCAGTGCCCGAGTTTCCGAATGGTCAGTCCGCCCCTGTGGGTATGTTAAAATGTGAAACACAAAATCATAAAAAATAATAATATAATAAAAATGTAATTAAATATAAAATCAAATAAAAAACTAAAATGTAACAAAAATAATAAATAATAATAAAATCAAAATAAATAATCAAACCAAAAACACTGAAATTTGAAATATAACGCCAAGTTCGCACATCACTGAGCAAAGTCGCAAAATCGTTTTCAGTGTCTGATGACGAATTACCCCACGAATCATTATCACTCAATTCTGCAAGTGGTTCTAATTTGCTATCGCTGTTCTCTAGCCGGTCTAAAACCGATTTTGACCTAAAGGGACGCTTTTTGGACGCCATGGACATTTCTCAGTTTCCAGGTAGAAAGAACAGTAAAAATGCAGGCAGGGCACAGGACAAAGCACTCGGGACAAAATGTATGTGAAATGGCTTGATACAGTAATGTTATACTATGTGATTTTAGTGAATTTAGTGAATATCACTTTTACAACTTTCAAATTTCCTGCCAGTTCCGTCCCCCCGTACGTCCCAATGTTGCAGGGAACAGAACCCAGAATACAGATGCCGACATCTGCCGGTGGACATTGCAGGGGACACAGCAGGAGGGATATTGCGGGAGCGCAGGACAAGGTAAGTGATCGAGGGATCCCGGAGCAACGCTGCAAGGTATTCCCGAGTGTAGCTCGGGGTTACCGCTTGTGGTACTGAAACTTTACCCCGAGCTACACTCAGGAATACTGCCAGGGAGGTTAAGGCAGAGATAGCTGAGGAAAAATCTGGGAGCCAGAGAGAAGTCTTCTGTTGCTTTTGTAGGAAAGGTCCAAAAGAATATCTATCTGGGAATAGCCTTTAACACTGTAGTAACCTTTTCTTTTCCATTTGTACCTACAGGTAATCATACAATAAGGCATATCTGTAGATACAGTAAATATCTCCTAATTGTGCTTTGTTTAGGAGATGTTTACATCTGTAGAGGCTGGTGATGTCACCGGCACAGGAGCAGTGAGCTCTCAATAAACAGTACACTCAAGTGTGCCATCCATTAAGAATGATGTGCAATGACCATGGCTCCTGTGCACATGCGCAGGAGCGATGTCATTGTGGCTCGGCCATTCAAATGGCAGAAGCTTGTGAACCCCTAAGAAAGACCGGGTGAAAATAGAATCCCTATCAGCAGTGATAAGGTGCCCTTGGAGGGATTCCTTTTACAGGTAAGTCTTTCATAATGTGGCAGTATGTGGTGCATACTAGTACAGTATGCCCTTAATTTGCAGGGGGAAGCTTTTTCTTTAGGTGGAACTTTACTACGGCTTTAATTTCAATGGGGATAACTTAAACTGTTGCTCTGAAAGCAGAGCAACAGGCCCGTGGGTACAAGGAGTCTGAACATTTTGTAATGGCTGGGTAAAATGGTAAGCGTTTTTTTTTAAACATATGAACTGTGTGGACTGGCCCAGTTATCTTTATAGATTAAGAAATAATTAAATCCATACTGAGGAATATAAAAAGTGGTGTTGTGCAGACAAAAGCAAGTAAGAATGAATATCATTTTACTGCAATGCAAGGGAAGGGCAGTACTCCAATAATATCTAATAAAGTGCTTTTCATCAGGAAGCGAAAACATAAACATCACATTTCAGGGAAAACATCACATCAGGTTTTTGCTTTTATAAAAAGAGCTCATTCCCATTTTTGGGGGGAATGATAGCCTTATTTTTTTAAATGATAGCCTTATTCCTTTCAGTGATGTCTTTGCAGAGTTGCAAAAAGTACACATTCACAGAATTGATGAAGCAGAAGCATGGAGATCCTTGCACTGCAAGTTCTCAGCTTCCTTTCCAGCAAGGAGAACAGTGAGCTGCACAATATTTACATCACCAAATCTTGCTCAGAAATTAGCAGTCAGATGCAGCAGTGCCTTAAATGATCTCACACTGTAGATATACAGTTATGAGCCTCAAGACACTGAACTGTAGGAAGTGACTGCTATTTTTCAGGAGAAATTCAAGAAAAAAGGTAAATCTTTTATGGTACTGCTTTGGCACAATTAACATTTCTAGATGTTCCCTGTAAGGTAGCAAATCTTCACTTTATTAAGTTCACTATAATAAAATCATCATTTTCTTTTGTTTTTTTTTGTGCATGAGAGTCTCTGTGAGTAAAAGACAGGACATTTTGCTCATCATTGTTTCATATTGCTTAATTTACCCCTGCAGTATGTTATTATAGGTAGCATTGCTCAAATCTGTCATATTGCTGTGCCTAATTCTATGGGAGAGAGAGAAGTATGCTCTGAGTGCTATTATGAAATAGAATTTTTACTTAAAAAGAGATTTTTGCTAAAATATGTGTTAAAAAAGTATAATTGCAAGTGTATATCTCCTTTCATTTCTACATTATGGTTCACAAAATATAAACAATAGGCAGCAATAAAAACTTAGGATTTACTACAAATGAAACTGTATCAATGTGCCAACAATTCAACTGTAGGGTATAATAGCATGCAAATTATATAATAGACAATAAAATTGCTATTTATGCCCAGTTCTGCACTTTGAAGTGAATGAAAAATTACAGGTTTTAGTTGCCAAAGGCTGATATCAAAATGTGAAAGTAAATATATAAGAGTAGGAAATATTCCTGTGCAGCATATTTAATATGCAAATTGCAGGTGCGGAATCTTGTTCATCTTCATATCTAAATACCGTTGAACGTTTTCATACTGTCTTTACTAAAGGTTCGTAGTCAGAGCAATGTAGACCAAGGAAATGTTTGGTGAGTTTACCAGGCAAGAGCACTTTATTTGCATAACCTGCTGCTACATTTGCACAAAGTTAAGCCAATTTAATATTTTAGAATCTATTTAGGTGTTTGTACACATAGTGGGAGATTTACTAAAATGGGTGCACACAGAAGCAGGTGCAGCTGTGCCTAGTAACCAATCAGTTCTAACTTCAGCTTGTTCAATTAGGCTTTGACAATACACCCTAGAAGATGGTTGGACATTATGCACAATGGCACCCGATTCTGTGTGCACCAGTTTTAATAAATCTCCCCCTATAAGTAGCAACAGAAATCACCTTGCCTGTGTTCATAGTGAACACCTACTCCTCCCTAATGTGTGTGTACCAAACGTGTACTGCTGTCAGGATTAGACGACAATCATCTTTTGTATGCTTAATGCTGAAAGGGCAAACTGTTGGCAATTGGAAAAAAAACTTGTGTGGAACATTTGGGACAGAGTCTTCGTGCTTTACCATTATAACAGTAGCATGGCTGGATGCCTTGTTTTTATTTTTAAGATTGTTTTTAACTGCCATTTTATGTGATTTTAAATATAATTTCGTTTTGAGATGTACTACACTGTGTGAAATAAATATATAATAAAAAGGTCTCTTTTAAAATCTATAGGTGGAAACACACACTAGCAGCTAGCAAACTATTGCAGGTTACAATAAATAAAACATAAATTGATAAGAAGTACAGCACTAGAAAAATATATAAATATGCTTTTCCATAAAACAGAGTCCAATCCAAAAGTTTCAAGTATATGATACATTGTCTGGCAGCAGAGAAACAGCATATATTCAATGAGTGCCCGGGAAAACATCAAAGGGAGAAATCCTTCACCAAACACACTGTTCCTTACCTGAAGGTTTTGACCTCCAAATGAAAGGTCATTATGCACTGTATGTTTCCTAGAAACAACCAATGGACTGAATATAATTCATAGGGATCCTTTCTGTCAATATGAAGCTCATAGCAAATAAATTTGGAACTAGTGTTACCTCATAGAGGATATCGAAAACAGAGAAAAAGAATCCTAGTGTAGTAGATTATGAGTATTTAATAATGTCAGACACCGCCCGGCGGGATCTCTAGTGATCCACAGAACGGGATTCCCCAGGACGCGAAGTCTAAGTCCCAGTCTGCCTTTTCACCAGAGCCCCTGATGGTGGGGATGGACTTGGTGCGAGACTGAAACCAGGTTGAGGCCCCTGAGTGCACCCAACTGTGGCAGAGGGGTCCCGCTGAGGGTATGTGCCAGGGGTTAGCCTGATGTGAAGAGGCTGACAGGTCCAGGTCCCGAGCAGGATGGATGGATGACAGTCAGGAGTGAGCGTGGTCAGACTAACCGGGTCGGTAACGGTGGAGGCAGATAGGTACCAAGCAGTAGACGGAGAGTAGCCGGGTCACGAGCCAAGGTTCAGTAATGGGAGGTCCAATAATAATAAGGGCAGGCAGAGGAATAGTCAGGGAGAAGCCAGTGGTCAGAGCAGGAGAAGGTCAACACGAATCAGAACAGGCAGGGTCGGCACAAAGGAATGCACTTCAGGAACACAGGTAACAGGAACTAGACCTTGCGGCAATGTGATCACGACTAGCCAGTTTAAATAGTGCGCCCTGCACCGCCATTGGTGCCAGGCACGCGCCCATGTGCACGAGTGCGCATGTACGACCGCAATTGCCGCCGCGGACGCCCAGGTCCTAGTGCCTGCATATTGGTGCGCCTAGGCAATCTGTGCATGCGCAGACCTGTGCGCCGCAGCGAGACCCGCAGTCCCTGACAAATAATCAAGCAGTAATGCACATACATAATAAAAGTTTAATATCAACACAATCAATAAGATAGCCGCCATGTTCCGGTGCGTGATGATGTCATACGCTCTGGCTCCACCCAATGCGTTTCATCATCTGTGTGATATTGTCAGGGGCGTGAAATGAAGGAAGAAGAGTCTCTGTGCTTTACCATTACAACAGTAGCATGGTCAAATGCCATGTTTTTATTTTTTAGATTATTTTATCTGGCATTTTATGTGATTTTAAATATAATTTTGGTTTGAGGTGTACTACACTGTGTGGGGCTTTTTTTCTTCTGCTGGACTTGGTCCTTACCTGTTGGAAGAAGATTTCAGGAAATATAATGAAGTAAAAGACAGTTTTGCTACAGAAGTGAATTTTGTCTGATTTTTGATAGAGAGGTCACTCTTTCCGGGGGAGTAATGTCATTATTTTGGGTAGAAGATAGCAAAAGCCTGAGTCTTAAGGCCCGTACACACGATAACAAAATTGTCCGAAAATATTCGTACGAGGACCAACTTTCCGATAATCTGATCTTTAGTACACAGCTTTCGAGAGCCAATCACAAATATTCATGCGACAATATCCGAATGGACAAGTGTGACATTTTTTCTCATACAATACCGGATCGTACAATTTTTGTTTAATCAGTACAGTAGTTGTCCGAAAATACAATACAAATACAATACAAATACAATACAACACATTACATCACTTTCAAAATTCTTTGCTTTAGTACAAGAATTTTCTTTCGTCTTCATTTTTGATATGGAGACTAGCATGCAAAAAAAAATGTGGATGATCATTCATCTGACCATCTTATCGTGTGTACGGGGCATTATGGTTTTATTTGCGCTCTGCTCTTCCTTTTAGACAATTTATACCAAAGGGATTCTTTCTGAATTTAGAAAGGTGCATTTACACAAAAAAAACAAAATTTTATCTCATGCAAACTGGGCATAATTAATGCTGTTTATACAAGCTTTTGGCATTTTTTTTCTTCAGCCTGGATAGGCAACTCTATGTTAGCCTATTTGCACATTTGGGCATTTACAGGCATATTTGCAGGGTGAAAAAAAAAAAATCACAAGTGTGTTTTTGAGAGGAGATTTCAGGCAGAAAAAAAAAACACTGAAGCACATAAAAGTGCCTAAACGCACCTAAATGTATGCACTCAGCTTTTAGGAGCATTCCCCATTTTCAAATGTGCATTGATTATTGTGAAAAATGAGTAGAGAAGAATATTTTGGGGAAAAAAACACATAAAAGGAAATACACGGATAAACTCTTGTGCAATGTGAGCTGCTATGAACATTTTTATATGCTGTTTTTCTTTTTTTTCTGGTATATTATTCAGCCGCCTAGTGTGCATGGACCCTTTGTATTTTTGGAGTGCTATTACACACATGTTGGGATTAAACACTGAAAGTGCTGCATGATAAAGACTAAAGATCTGAGGGACTGTGCAGAAATGAAGTGCCACATTCTATAGATGTGACATACTCCCTCAACTTATATGCAATTTTGGCCTTTACTATAAGTTGTTTTTCCTCTTCTCCTGGTGAAACATTTGAAATACGGTTTGCAACACAGATGATGTGTTTTTTTGTATCTCTAAAAGTCCATAAGTCCCCAGGACTTGTTCATATTTATATTCTTTTTTTTCTCAGTTACTCTGTACATGGTTATACACCCTCAAATATTTCTAGCACACTTATGGATAAAAACAGGGATTTTGTTTGTTATGTGTTTATTGCAATATATGTCATGTTGGTCAACTGCACCAGCTGGACAGTCCCTACAATTGCACAATGCTAAATACTTACTTGAACATAGCATACTTTAATGGGCATATAGTGCCCATATGGTGTAAACTGACATAGTTTGATCAGATCTACAGTCCCAGGTCTAGTCACTAACCTTTACTATGCAATAGACTAGCCTGAACATGTATGACAATATGAGGACCCCTGTTTTATGCAAAAGTTTTCTTAACCTCCCTGGCAGTATTCCCGAGTGTAGCTCGGGGTAAAGTTTCAGCACCACAAGCGGTAACCCTGAGCTACACTGGGGAATACCTTGCAGGGCTGCTCCGGGATCACTTACCTTGTCCTGCGCTCCCGTGATGTCCCTCCTGCAGTGTCCCCGGCAATGTAATCTGGCCGATGCCGGCATCTGTCTTCTGGGTTCCGTTCCCTGCGACATCGGGACGTACCGGGGACGGAACTGGAGAGAAATTTGAAAGTTGTAAAAGTGATATTCACTAAATTCACTAAAATAACATAGTAAAACATTACCATATCAAAGCATTTCACATACATTTTGTCCCGAGTGCTTTGTCCTGTGCCCTGCCTGCATTTTTACTGTTCTTTCTGCCTGGAAACTGAGAAATGTCCATGGCGTCCAAAAAGCGTCCCTTTAGGTCAAAAGTGGTTTTAGACCAGCTAGAGAACAGCGATAGTAAATCAGAACTACTTGCAGAATTGAGTGATAATGATTCGTGGGGAAATTCATCATCAGACACTGAAAACGATTTTGCGACTTTGCTCAGTAATGTGTCAACTTGGCGCTATATTTCAAATTTCAGTGTTTTTGGTTTGATTATATTATTTAATTAAATTTATTATTATTATATTATTATTTTGTTATGATTATTTATTACATTATAATTTATGATTTCTTGTTTCAAATGTTAACATACCCGCGATGTTTACTAGACTCTTGTTCGGACAGATTTCAGTGAGTTATTCCTAAGAATTACAGGCCTACAATAAAAAGAATTCATATTTCCATGCAAAAAAATGTACCGCTTTGAGCACAGAAATATGGACATAATCAGACCGCTAGGGAGGCTACAGTATGTAAGGGTATCATTAGCACACTAAAGAAGTAACATTTTCTTAACAAGCAGTAAAAAACACTTTAAAACAAATCCTCATTCATCTCTGTATCTGTGTATTTTATTATATATAGCAGATCCTAGCATTTTTCCAGTCCCTTAATCTAATCAACCAGAAAATTTTTCTAGGCTGTTAGAAACCAATCAAAACCTAATTCTAAAGTTTTGTTTTGATTTTTGAAAATGAATACCTACAAATTAAAATCAGGTAGAAAGATCAGGGTTGCTTGGTTCAATCACTTGACCTTCGGAAGGTTTTACCTTCTTCACAACCAGGCCATTTGTTTTTTGCTATTCAGCACTATGCTGCTTTAACTGGCATTTGCACAGTCATGCAATACTGTACCCAAATGAAATGTATATAATTTTTTTTTCACATATATAGAGCTCTCAAAAAAAAACCCTCACGACACAATATTTCTACTTTCTGTTATAAAACATCCAATAAAATCAAATTTCTTCATACATTTAGGCCAAAATGTATTCTGCTACATGTCTTTGGTTAGAAAAAAAAATCCCAAAAAGTGTATATGAATTGGCTTTTTGGAAGATATAACATCTACAAACTATGGTATATATTCTAGAATTTACGCAGCTATCAATGTTATACTAGTAATTAGTGATGGACCAAACACCCCTGTGTTCAATCCACAGTCGGACATTCGAACCTAATGAATGTTTGACTGCAAACTTTGAACTCAGTGCAAGTCTACAGGTCTCAAACTTGTACATGTAAAAGTGTCCATTTTGAAGGCTTATATGCAAGTTATTGACCATAAAAGGGGTATGAGGACTTGGGTACTGCCTTGTTGGACATGAATCATTGAACAAATGTTTTAAAAAAATACTGTTTTTAAAGGGGCAGTCATTTTTTTATTGCTTAAAGTAAAAAGAAAGAAAAATTCCTTTAAATATTATGCCTGTGGGTTTACCTTAAACATTGGTACAATGTATAGAACCAGCTACAGCAGGACTGACATTTTTGTAAACAAAATGACATTTAAGAAAAAAAAAACAGCGTGGGGTCCTACCCCCTAATCCATACCAGACCCTTTAGGTCTGGTAGGAAGGTTAGGAGGGATTCCGCAGAGAAAAAGAGAAAACAAAAAGTGCATGAGGTTGCCCCTAAAAGCCATACCAGGCCCTTTAGGTGATGCCCTAATTTTCATTTTTAAAAAAACATATCTGTGGGTAAATGAGTAAGGCCTTGTGCACACGATGAGAATATCGGCGATTGATCTTTTTTTTTTTTTTTTGCATCCTAGTCTCACATTGAAAATGTATAGGTTACTAAAGTTGCGAAAATTCTCATAAAACAGAATACAACATCCCACAATGATGCAATGTATTGTATTGTAATGTAGTCTTTAGTTTCCAAGCTTGCTCTGCCTTGGTCACACTTTTGCTAATGGACAAATACTGTGCTGATTAAAAGAAAATTGTTCATTCTGTTATCATATGAGAAAAATGTTTGTGCTTGTCCCTTTGGATAATTTCTCATGTATTGTGATCGGCTCTCGAAAGCTGTGTATTAACAATCAGATTATCAAACGGTTTGAGCCCTGGGACTACAAGTAACAGCTTGCCTGCTGGTCCAGAGGACTACAAGTAACATATCAGCTACAGTTAATATTTAAAATTAAAAATTAAATTTTCACAGTTTTTTGGGCATTTGATTTGCCATGCGTAAGTAAGACATCCACCTGGAATTCAGGTATATTGGAATGCTCATAAATTATACATTTTTAATATGCAAGAAATGGAAGCATGAGCTAAGCAGGCTCCGTGTTTATATGTATATGATCAATATGTTAGTGAGTATAGATATTGATTAAACTGAAAACACAATTACAGAAGAAAAAACATTTTTTCATGTTAAAGTGTTACTAAACCCACAACAGTAAAATCAGTCTGTATTTGCAGTAAAGCATGCTTGTTATACTCAAGGTGAAACCTAAGGGGTTAATCCTCTGCATTGTGCAAAAAAGGATGTTCTTATCCTCCCCTTCTTCTACTGTCCCCAATCCATATGTTGATAGTACCAAGCTCTAGGAGGTACTATGCACATGCTCAGATTACAGTGTATTGCTAGAGTTTTTTTTTTTTCTTTGGGAGGGTGCATGTGATCAGCACAGGGCCAATCAGCACTGTCCAGACAGAGGGTCAGGGGTCATGCAGCCTCATAGGACATTCAGAGGAGAATTGATTTAATTTATTTTTCTTTATTACAGGTAATTATATAGCGCCGTCAATTTATGCACTGCTTTACATATATATATATTGTACATTCACATCAGTCCCTAACCCTGAAGAGGCTTACAATCTACAGTCCCTAACTTACATTCATACATACACGTACTAGGGCCAATTTAGACAGGAGCCAATTCACTTACTTTTGTAGTGTGGGAGAAAACTGGAGTACCTGAAAGAAATCCATGCAGGCACAGGGAGAACATGAAAACTCCAGGCAGGTGGTGCTGTGGTTGGGATTCAAACCAATGAACCTAGTACTGCCATGCGGAAGTGCTAACCTTTTAGCCACTGTGCTGCCCAAATGAAAACTCCTTCTACAAGATTAATCAGTGCTTGGCCAAACTCTAATAGAAGTCACAAGACTGCTCTAACTGCTGATGAGAAAAGGTATTTAGCAGTTTATATTTACTAAAATAATTGCATTCCCATGTTCTGTGTACTATGGGAGATCAGATATAGTGAATGCAGGTCCTGGGTTTAGCAACACTTTACATTTAAACTGTGTATACTTTCAGGATCATTCACTTTATTAAACTTCCATTTCATTGAAAAATATATATCTTTTGTACAGATAAATAACCAACTAATAGAGAATTTCAAGTTTTCCAGAGAGATAAACTTGGGTTGTACTAGAAAATGCCAAGCAGCTCCAAGCTACAGTCACCTAGCTATACATATCCAGGAGAGCAAGTAAGAAATACAAATAAATTCAGGAGCTTCCATTCAATTGTCTAACACTGAAAAAGAAACCCTTTAAACAGAGCTTTACTTTTTAGAACATGCTGGAGCAGCACAATAAATCATTTTCAGATAGCACTGCAAAGTTCACAGAGGTCCAGATCAAATTAATCCTGGCAAAGCAATTTAATTAAACCCATCAGCATCTTTTAAAATAAGATAATGGGTAGTATGAAAGGCACAATTTTCATTGTTTTAGGGATTTTGTTATAGCTGCTAACTATAAATAAAAACAAAGGAGGTGAGCTGGTACAAAACAAGTCCCGTAAATATGAATTAATTTAGGAATATACTGTAAATAGTTATTTCAATGGAAAAACTAATTTATGTTTATACATAAATAGAAGTAATATACCATATAAAGCAATTAATAGAAACCATGAAATGGATTCAGAATTTGGGGTTTGTCATCCAGACTAGGAATGTACTATAAAATTTGATCTCTATGGCTTAGTTTCCAAATATAAACTCACATAAAATGTGTTGCTCTTCAGCTTGATGAAAGGGGCTCTCTTCCATGACCTCTCCATTTTCCAACAAGGATTGTTCTCAAAGGCAATCTGTCATGAGATTATAATGGATGCTGCCATTATATTCATTGTTGGTTGGTGCTGGTACCTAGAGGTGATGTCAACCCCCCCCTTCATCATTTGGCAGTGCTCAGGCCTAGGAGGGAGCACTTCATCAAGGAGGTTACCTGCTTACTCATATATATAAGCTCTGACTGTGGAGTAGAGCGCATCAGCAGGGATATAAAAGGAGGAGGGTGGCTTTACACTGTCATTTGGCAACATTAAAGTGGTTGCAAACCCTTACATATACCAAGTGAAGTACTGTAAGTGGCTTCAGGTGATACAAAGATATGAAACAAATCCTCCTATATAAGTTGTACCTGTTTATCTATAGTCCTTTCTTCACTACATCTTTCCAAAGTACTGAATATAAGCAGTCTGAGAGTTCAGAAAAAAGGGCAGAAAGCTGAAATTATACATGGCAGAGCTCAGTGAGGAGAGTTCTGAAAGCTGATTGGAGGGGGGGTACCCCCTTCACACAGCACACAGGAACAGAGCTGAGGCTGTCAATCACAGGCTGTGTGCTGGAGCTCTCCCGCCCCCCTGTTAAAATTCCCCTGTTAAACAATTGTTGCTAAAATGGGTATTTCCAGTTCCAGATTTTCCCTCTACTGTATATTTGTACAAGTGGCAGTTTAGAAGAATTTTGGATTATCTCTTACTTTAGGTCACACCGCTGTGATTTAAATGCGCATTAAAATTTATTTCAGCACAATTTCAGGTGCAATTTCTGAAGACTTTATTGCAGCTTGTGAATATTTTCAACAATTTCTTGTGATTTACATTGCAATTTCC